ACTTCTCCTTGCCACGAGAGGGCAGCTCTGCCCTCCTCCAACTCCCAGCCTGTGTTTTAACTGGTTTCCAGTGGCCATGGTGGTGGGAACGGGATCAGGGCTGCCTCAAGGTGAACTCACGCTTTGCAAAGTGGCCGAGCAGATGGGAGAACAGCTCCCGCGCGCCCCGAGAGCAATGGGACCCCAGCACAGCAGAAAGAGCACTGGTTCCCATGTCAGCATGTGCTCCTCGTGGGTCTTAGATCATTTGCATTACTTCATATTAAACAGCTTTCGTAGGGCAATAAGCAGGGTGATTGACAGCTGTCACTGAGACATATTTCATTTAGTTTTGCACACAGAAAGCGGCAGGAGCCATCTCTTTATCCTGTATTTCCAGATCTCCAGGATACTGGGCCATTACTGGGCATCTTGCAAACACCTTGAGCTCAGAGCACCTCGATAACCTGAGCAGGGAGGTTTAGTTAAGGCCGAGAGGACCTGCAGAGATTCATGTCTCCAACGACTTCATACATTCAAGCACGTGCAAGTGTCAGGGAGGAAAAGGAAGAGGAAGCAAAACTGCTTGCAATTTTTGAGGGTTTTTCTGGCCAACGCCTGTGTCACAAGGCGGGCGAGGGAGGCAGAACAGGCAGAGTGAGAGACGGGCAGCCTGTAGGGTTGTTTCCGCACGCGAGGTTACAGCAAGCTGACCCCAAGTTTCCCTTCGCACCGTTTGCAGAAGGTGGCCTGGCTCTGCGGACCCGCATGCCTGGCAGGTGCAGATTCGTCAGCTAAAACGAGCTCCAAATCAACGCAAGACCGTCTCCAGGCAGGGCTCTGGGCCAACGGCGCAGAATCTGTTTTTAAGGGCAATCAGGTTAAACCAGTGCAATGATTGCACATGAAGATCAAAGTGAACTTGCAAAGGGAGTGTAGTGAGAATCCAGAAATTACAACACAGATTATACTATTTTAGGAACTTAATTCCAGGGTGGAGACCCTTTAACCAAAACTCAAGTCAAAACCCGTGGTGCCGTACTCAGACCTGCCAGGGAGGCAAAGCCGGGGCGGTCTGCACCCGTGGCCGGTCCCAGCGAGCACCCACCAACCCCTGTCGCAGCTTCCCACCAAAATCGGTGGGTCTGGACGCATGGATGAGCCCCGGAGGGCGAGGACAAACACCTGAGGGCAGATTTGGTATCACAACCGAGTCGCTGGTTTAAGCCCCGACTTGGTTAAAAGCACTATTTTTTTTTCACGGAAACCTGCAAATGAAATCAAAATGCTTCCGTTCTTCCTTCTAAGGGGGTGCAAAGAAACAAACTGAGGTGAGAAAGTACAAGTGGGACGGATTTTTTGTTGGGTTTTTTTGCACTTCCGACAAATTTGAAATAGAAGAATAGAGTTTTCTCGCCACCTCCGGTTAAAGCTGGACCCGCTTTCTCTTACATCCCCTCTGCAGAAAGGAGGGGAGGACCAAGCAAAACCCTTAAAAGAAAACCCAGCATGGGGTTTTCCACCAAAAGCAAAAAAAATATGATTTCCCGCAGAGCCCGCAGGATCACCCTGCGGCTGAGACCACCTTTTGGGGCAGGTGGAAAGAGGCACCTATCCCACCCCAGCCAGCCTGACTGGCACAGGAGCAAGAGAGTGGCTCCTGCCCTCCACAAAACACTTGCCCCCAAGGTAGCAAGCATTTGCAGGAGGCAAAGGGCCCAAAAAGGGGTCTCGGGGTCCTGAAAGGGTCCACCAGGCACCTCTTCCCTCCCCACCGTGGCTGGACGCCCCCCAAGACCATCAGGGAAACCCTCGGCATCCGCACGGATACAACCGTGCTCCGGTTTCCTGCAGCGGCTCCGCCGGGGGCAGCGCTGCCCCCGTGAACCGGCCACCTCAGGGTCTGGATGGCCTTGGGAAAAAATTAAATGACATGATGGTTAAACCCCCAGCTGCTTCCTTCTGCAGCAGAGCTGGACCAGCGGCAGAGGAGATGCCAAGTTTTGGGACAGAGAAAGAGGTCTTGTGGGTTATTTTGGTTTTGGCAGGGGCTGCTTTTGCGGGGAGGTTGGTGGGAGGTACAGGGAATAAGAGGAGAAAAGGAAAAGGGGAAAGGATGGATGGGGCAGGGCAGGAGCTAGAAAACAGCCCTTGCCCACACAACAGCAAAGATGGGACTTTTCTCCTTTACTACCCGTACACCTCATTACCGTGTCGCTAGCAGCATCTAAGTAAAGTCACTTAAAGCCCTCCGCTACTTTGCTACAGGCAATATTAAACCCAAACCGACAAACACCTAAACAAACACCAAATAAATTCAATGCACAATTGGGGAAATCCAGCACAAAACTGCCCGCCTATCTGATCTGGATTTTTCCCTAAACGAATTCCCTTCCGACGTGTCCGTGCCCTCTCTCCCGTCTGCCTTCCATAAACATTCACGTGGCCAAGTTTTTTCTTACTGGCACAAACAGCGGCGGAAAGCAGCTTTCAAGGTTGCACGAGCAAGTATTTGGGGAAACCGAATATAAAATTTGCACTGCGCAAATACCGGTGCCAGGCGCGTGCAGCCGGCGAGGCACAGAAACAATTTCACGTGGCGGGTAAAGGCTCCCCGGCAAAAACTCTCCAAGTCAATGCGCAGCGTCCAAAAAGTTTCAGAAATTCCCTTCCCTCCAATACGCATTGGACATAAGAGTCGCAGCCTCTTTGCGTCCTCTCCATAAGCAAGGAGAAGCTACCGAAGTCAGAGAAGTCTGTGGCGTGATCCTGGGAAACATGCTCTAGAGGTCCCTGCTTGAGCAGCGAGGTTGGACTAGATGATCTCCAGGTCCCTTCCAACCTAAACCATTCTGTGGGCTTCTGTGTGATGTGTATACACATATATATTTACACATACACACACATATATATGACTACACACCTCGGTGACTAATTCTGCTTGGACAAGACCAGCATTAAACAAGGAATAGTTCAGATAAGAGTGATAGAGCTGGTTTTAAGGCGTAACACCAGAACTCACGCTACCCGACCAGCTTTGCTTCCCAGCGTCGCCGAGGTGGACGCTGGTTGTTGGCTGCGATATCTTAATGAAGATATCGGTTCTCTGCATGCAAACACAGGCAAAAGGCGCAATTCCTGAGCCTTTAGTCATGCCAGAGATGAACCAAAGGCTGCGCTTTGCAGGCGACGCGCTCCAGAGAAAGCTCCTTATCCAGAAAGGGGTGATCAAGCAGTTTCCATCTCACTCGGTCCCCACCGCGCCACGCACAGCCCCTTATTCCACGTCTAGAGCCACGGGTCTCAATCTTTTCCGCGTGCAGATCCCTGAACATTTCCTTAAGGAAGCTCGAAGCTTGGTCCACCCCGAAGAGGTGTCTCCATGGCCTTTCGAATGCCCATTAGATGTCAGGTCGCGGGTAGGCAAGCACCTAAAAGGAACCGCGGGCTCTGAATTTCCAAATAGTTCAACCAAGCCTGTTGCCCCAAGCACTAAACATAACAGCTTCTCCCCCTAAAAGGAAAAAAAAAAAAAAAACTTCGGCTGCCCCGGCGCCGACTCCCCGAGCCGGTGGACCCAAACGCCACGAGACGAGAAGGAACCGCAACGGTCGCGTTACTCAAGAGCGCTCAGCACATCGGGCGCTAATCGCTTCGGAAAACGCAGCTTTCGTTCCGACGCTTAAACGCAACTTGGAAAATCTGGCTCCAATTGTGGGTGAAACTTTGGCCCTGAGTGCTCTTTTTTTCACCCCCCCCGGATCTAGACCATAATTCTGCCGTCCGTTCGGCACGCCGGCAACGGAGGCAGCTCCCACAGGACCTCCGCTTTTGTAAAAGGAAACGGCAGCGGGACCTTCTGCAGCCTCAAAACTTTCTCCTTTTCGCGCAAATCAATTCTGCTATAATCTCGAGTGCCGTTTGCGCTGCGCGATACCCCCGGCCGGCGCGGGATTTGCATCTTGCTGCGCTCTCCGTGGAGCCCTGCCAGCTCCGAGCGGTTCCTGGTGCTCGGCTTTGCCGCTGCTTTTATTGTATTCGTGCTGCCTTCGCAGCGCCTTAAAAATCAACCTGGCGGATTACTCCCAAAAAACAAAGCGCGGACCCGGTTCTGCCCCGCATACACGTGGGTTACGTTTCATTCCCTTAAACCGCTTTTCTCCATCCGGACCAGACAATTACAGTAGCCAGAAAAGTGTGAAATTTCAGCTCTGAGCATGCCAGGGCTCCCAAGTGTCAGTTACAATAAAATAAATGACCCATTTCCTGCAGGATCGCGAGCGCTCCTCCGAGACAGACGGACAGAGAGAGTCTTGTTTATTTTCCCGTTTGCTGGACAGAGGCTCTGGCTGCCCTGCTCGTCGGCACCGGGAGGTCGGCTCAGCCTGGGGATGCTCTCGCACCTCCGCTGCCCCTCGCGACGCCCTCCCAGACCGCAACAGCGAGAAGGATAAACAGCAAGTTGCTCCGCTCCGGTTACCGATGCCGCCTGCTTTTGCCCCCTTTTGCCAGCCACACCGATTTATCCCGCTCGAGGCTCTACGCAACAATCTCAATGCAACGTCCTCCACCGTGGGGATTTTATTACGAGTCCCGCTGGGGAAACTCCCGCGCGGAGGGCTCTGAAGGACGCCGGCGCGGGGAGCAAGAGCCGAAGGCGGAGAGAGGCGCCCCGAAGCCTCCGGCTCAAAGCCCAAGCGCTGCCACGCCGCGGCCATCGGCATCCCGCTGCGGAAACCCCTCGCGCATCTCCAAGAGCGGGCTACGGCCACGGGACGCAAACTGGTTTCCGCCACCCTTCAGTAAGTTGTTATTCAATCAGAATAAGAAAACCGGCTTAAAAATAACATCTTACGTTAACTTTCCAACCAAGACAAACGCTTGTTTCACCGGGACACTGTCACGCAGTGTAAAACCAACGGCCAGTTTAGGTTTGAGACATTTTAAACAGAAGCACGGGGTAATTCGGATCGGGAGGGACACGCCGAGGCCACCCGCTCCGGCCCGCGGCGTTCCCAGCCCTTCCCCTGCGC